AAATCTGGTCGAAAACTTGACTTCCGGCAACACCCATGTCATACTTACCCTAGGGTTCAATGTTTTTACGGACATTGGCTCGCCAGAGACTAATGTGTGCTTCAGTGTTTTGCAGATTTTGGATCTTTAACAGAATCGAATTGCTGGAAAATTTCCACCCTTCTTTCTTGACTAATGTTTCTACATTAACAAAACTTGATATTTCAGCCTTTCAAGTAATTTATTTTCTGGTTCTATTCCGAATGAGATTCAAAATTTGTAGAGATTGGAGGAGTTGAACATGGCGAACAATTCATTCAGTGATTTGGTTCCTGTTGATATAAAGAAATGTAGTAATTTACAAGTTCTTGATCTTGGGGTAATTTATTCACGGGGGATTTTCCTGGGTTTTTTGGCAAGTTAAAAAGTTTGAAGTTTCTATCACTTGGTGGAAATAACTTTTCAAGGTCTATGCCTTTTGAGTTTTGGTAATTTGACATTGCTCGAGAGTCTTAATTTAGGAGGCAATCACTTAATTGGAGTGTTTCCTGATGAACTGATACTTTTGAGAAACTTGAGTTCATTGAGTCTTAATGGAAACAAGCTTTCTGGACCTATTCCAGTGAGCATTGGGAATTTAAAGCAACTTGCAGTTTTCAATCTGAGTAATAATAGTTTTTTGGGTACCATTCCAGCAAGTTTTGGGGTCTGTTTAAGTTGATGGTTCTTGATTTGAGTAAAAAGAATCTATCAGGGGAGTTGCCATCCGATCTTTTGGGTTTGCCTAATCTGAAAGTGATTGCATTGCAGGAAAACATGTTTTTGGGTGTAGTTCCTGAAGGTTTGAGTAGCTTGATGGGGTTGGAGTATTTGAATCTCTCTTTCAATTCGTTTTCTGGTCGTATTCCTTCAACTTTTGGTGCCTTGAAGACTGAAGTCTCTAGTTGTTCTTTCATTGTGAAACAATCACATTTCTGGCTCAATTCCTCCAGAGTTGGGGAATTGTTTAGCTTTAGAAGTTATAGACCTTTGCTCAAGTTCTTTGAGTGGGCAAGTTCCTGTTTTCCTTTCATATGTTTCACATTTGAGTGTTCTTGATTTGGGATTGAACAATTTGACTGGTCGAATCCCCTATGAACTATCAAATTAATCGTCGCTAAATTCTCTTTCACTCAATTCGAACAATTTGACTGGACAAATTCCAGCCAATCTTACATTACTTTCCAGCTTGGTGAATTTCAATGTGTGACAATAACTTGGAAGGTGAAATTCCAGTAATGCTAGGCTCAAGGTTTAACAATCAATCATTATTTCTGGGTAATAAAGAATTGTGTGGGAAGCCATTGGATAGAAAATGGGAGGAAGCTGATATCAGGTATGCAAGCCATTGGATAGAAAATTGTGGGTTATGATTGTTTGTAAGATTTTGTGAGAAGAAGAGTGGTGAATGAATGGTTTGTCACTTTTTTGATTGGTGTTTTTTACTTTTTCGAATGTTTTTGATTGATGTTTTGTCACTTTTTCGCATGTTTGTAGTTTTTTTTTTAACTTTTTGTCACTTTTCTGAACGTTTGTCACTTTTTTTTTTTTTTTTTTTTTTTTCTTTTCTCTTTTTTTTTTTTTTTTTCTTTTTTTTTTTTCTTTTTTTTT